AGGAAACACACACAGCAAATCTGATTAATTAAATGGGGCAAGCAAACCTAAACATAGAACACTACCAAAATAATACAGGGGACAGAAACAGAAAAACTAAATGACAAAAGTCCAAACTCAAAACACTGGGACAGGAACCCAGGTGCCAAGACAGATATAGAATTTGCATTTTTGGCAGTGAGCAAACACTGGACAACAATCAGCCAGCTGATTATAGGGAGTAAAGAAACTCCCTATAAACAGGAAGAAAAGAGGAAAATACAATTATTGATTACATTTCAAGTGATACAGCTTGGAGCATGAGAAACTGTTGTCTTTCTTGTTTCACTCTGACGTCCCATGAAAATGCTTTTTGATGTGACATTTATAAGAACAAGGCTTTGTAAAGCTGATGTTTCGTGGCCGTTGTAACACCCAGTGACACGTTAGATATGCATTTCGGGCGTATGACAGGTCCAAACTGCACAAACATGTCAGTCACATCAAATTCCAAGCAAGTCTTTGTATTTAATATTGAGAGCAAACGAATTTAATAAATATTGAGGTTTTGAGTTTCACACCATGCACAGTTAACTTTTTTTCTAATGAACAGTATACTGATGTGGCCGACTATGTCAGAGTCGTCAGAGAACTGCTGCAGGTGGCAGCGTGGGGAGTTAATGGAGAAGTCTGTAGTGTAGAGGGTGAAGAGGAACGGTGCCAGCACAGTTCCCTGTGGGGCCCCCTGCAGACCAGCGTATCAGAGACACAGCCCTGTGACCTCACATACTGTGGGCTCCCTATAAGGTAGTCCAGTATCCACTGGGACATGTGGTGGTCCACTCTCAGAAGTCGTGGCTGGATGGTGTTGAAAGCACTGGAGAAATCAAAGAACATTATCCTCACAGTGTTTCCAGGCTTCTACAGGTGAGTCAGAGCTCGGTGCAGGAGGTAGATGATGGCGTCCTCCACCCCGATGCCAGGCTGGTAAGCAAACTGCAGCGGATCCAATGAAGACCTCACCAGGGGGCGCAGATGGTTTAGAACCAACCTCTCGAGGGTCTTCATCAGATGTGATGTCAGGGCTACCGGCCTGTAGCTGCTGAGGTCCTTGGGATGGGAGGTCTTTGGTACCGGTACCACACAGGAGGTCTTCCACAGCTGTGGTACTTTCCCCAGTGACAGGCTCAGGTTGAACAGATATCCTAGGATGCCACACAGTTCATCTGCGCAGCACCTCAGGAGCCTGGAGCTGATGCCATCTGGACCTGCAACCTTCCGCACCTTGATAGAGAGAGGGGGTGTATGTTGGAGTCCACAGATGCCGGGGGTGGGTGTGATGGCTGGGAGCTGAGAGGTGATTCTATACAATACTATAACGATAACTATACATTACTAACTGTACAATAAACAAAGACAGGACAGAGACAATACAAAGTGAATGTGCAGTAGGTCTTGAATACCAGTTTCAAGTTATTGTCAGGATATTATAGACGAGACAGAACGAAGACGTGTAAAATGCAAAATGTGCAAGTACAGTATAATTTAGATATGTGTTCAGAACTATGTGACCGAGTGTGCAAATAAGCATATTGTTCCCAGGTCCAGTTTGTACTGGATTTGTGGAAGTTTTTGTTGTATTTGAGTCTTTTAATGAGTATTGTAAGAGTATTTATAAGGGTATGTAGGGAGAGAGAGAGAGAGAGCCCCAAGTGTGATAGAAGAAGGATCGTTGAGTGCGAGAGGAACTGAGCTGTGAGATATGAAGGCATGCCGGCTCGGACGTCGCCTGGATTAGGTCTGCTAGATGATGTTAATGCAGCACTACGGACGATACCTACAGCCACCATCATCGAGGCTGCAGTCACCGAGACTAACAAGCTGATCTACACCACGGCAGCAGTGATCAGTGGCATAGGAACATATATGTGTAATGTAATAATGTAATAATATTAAAATATATTAAAATTAAACACAGATTCTGGGTGAAATGTTCTCTGGTTACTTTTATTTTACTTCATTGAGCTTTAAAGTACAAAACATTTTATTCACTGTGATATTTTTACAGATTTATTAAGATAGATAAGTATTTACCTCCAAACTGTTACTACGAAAGTGAATTAAAAAATTCCAGTAAAAAAAATTATGCATAATTCATTACATTTTGAAAGTTTAAAAAAAGTCTCAGAAGCTTGGAATTTTATGACATCCAATATAATATCCGTCACATCTGCTTTTGGATCTTAACATTAAGTATAAAGACTTTGTTTAGATTTTTGTGTGATAAATATGTTTGTACAGCTTAAATCATATGAGGAAAATTGTACATAACAAAATGGATGTGCATACCATTTTCATAAGCTCTGAAAGCCCACAACAGGTAGTGGAAAGTTCAAAATCAAAAGGATTTTAATTATATCTATTTTTTCCCTTCTTTTCATCCCATGATGTAGTATTAGGTCTGAAAATTAACTGAATAAACAAATACAGCATAATAAAAGTTGTATAATGCTAGATTAACTGTATAAAAAAGTATGGAACTTCACAAAAAATACACTAAGTATTTTATAATATACTTAGTGTATTTTTGACATTTTGGCAAAAAAAGTAATATAATTATTTTTTCGCACAAGGCACGGTAGACAGGCCTAACAGGCACAAATACATTATGGCTTAAATCCATTTAACTTAATAAAGGTAGCTTAAATCACTTTAGTTTCATGTATAGCTTGTACATGTCTGAGGAGAACACAGCCTGCAACTTATGGTTTAATGACATCTGTGGTTCTACAGGTGTTGACTGCTTTTCTTGTTTTTCACTGGCAGCGTGTAAGTCTACAGTAATTTATAAGATCCTTCATCCTGGACCTCCAGTGTTTCTACTTATCTTAATTAAATTGGGAGTTAACTTGTCACAAAATAAAAGTAAAAGATGTATTTGAAAGTATACAGTCAGACAAAATAAAAGATACTGAAGTAAGGTTAGTGCCATACAATAATACTTATATTTACATATTTTTTATTACATATTTACTTCTCTCAAGCTCCACAGCCACTGAGCGGTCCTTCAATCTGAATTCAACTTTCATTTCATTTTCATTCCACAAGGTTTAGAATGGACTGGAGCCTTCACACGCCTCAGTGCTCACAGATGCCATCACAACACTGGTGCTAAAGTCCACTTTGTCTTTTTTTCCTTGAAACATTTTCTTCAAAGGTGGCTGTGAATTCCAGTTATTGTCCTTGGCGAACTTGTAAACATCACCGAAGAGATCAGGAAATAGTTCAATTACATCACAATTGTCTGCGTCCTCTGCACTGTAAAAAAGGAAAGCATTATTAGTGCTTTTTGCAGACAGGCATCCAGGCAGACAGACAGAAAGACAGACAGACAGAGCTTTAACTTACTAATGCTCATGGAGATTACGTATAAAACGGAGCAGTCCTAATACATTTTCAGGGTACCGCTTTGTTTGCTGTATTTTCTTTGGATAAACTTGGTGCTCTATTTTGTTTTGTTGTTGTGTCTCTTTCTTTTGTAGTCTCCTATGAGTAGTTTGATTCTTGAAATTCTCCAATTTGTCAACCATGTTCAAGTCAAACTGCAAAAACAAATAACTCTGGTCATAATACGAACTTAAGAAATGCAAAAGTTTTGCTACAATGTTGCAGTCACCTTTCCTTTCCAGTTTTTATGGGATTGAAGTCCAGGACAGCTTTCTAGTAACTGAATCAGGTTCTGGTCAGCATTTTGACAGTTTTCCACTTCCTTCCTGTTACCAGTCCGTCTCAGGTATTCAAATTTCCTTGAATTAAATTTTAAATTATGGTTCATAGGTGCAAATTAATCACAAGCAGAAGCAGCTTACTTAAAAAACAACAGCAAATGCATAAGAAGAAGATCTATCATTGGTAGCAAATGGGAGCATGCATGTTTAACTAGGCTGATCTTGGATGACCTTATCAGAATTTTAGGCTAGAATGGGCAGTTTTTCAACAGACAGTTTAAGTGAAACCAAAAATCAATTCTTTTGTACCAGTAATAACTATTTATTAATTAATCAATCAGCATGACTTCCTTACTGTTTTGAATTCCAGAAGAAGGGATGGTCCAAGCATTCTTTTACATTGGGTCTTTGTTTTGGATCTTTGTTGATCATCCACTCGATGAGATCCTTTGCCACCACATCTTGAACATGATCCAAACAGTACTCTTTTTCGTTGTTGGGTTTGCCATCAAATGTATGCTTCCCTCCAGAGAGGATATGACGAATCAGCATACCTGCCACCTTAAAAGTAACAAATTACTTAATTTACAAAACCATCCATAAATATTTTCTAACATTTTTTAACTAATAAGCTGTGTTTTAGTGTTTGACATGTATGGTTTGTTCTCTGTTGTCTCTTGGGCCATTCTTGCCACCTTAAGAACATTTTCACAACATTTTATAAGTTGTGGTACTTTTCATGATGTTCTCAGTCAAGTTTGTGTGTAGCACATTTTACCCCTATTTCACTGTTTGACGTGTATGATCCTTCTTGGTCTTGTTTGCCAAAAACTAACTTTGCCCTCCCAATAACATCTGCAGGAGGAATAACATATAAAAACCCATCAAACAAAATCATGTCTCCTAATTACCAATGAATATGGATTTTACAGAATTTTAAATGTATCTCACCAATCCAAACGTTCTCGGGTTTGAGATCTTGGTGGAGAATTTGAGGAGTGTGACAGTGAAGCACCTTTAGACTTTTAAGAAACTCTTTGGCGAGGTTCTTTAAAAGAAAAACTTTCTCCTTGTGTTTGTTAATATACGTTCCTAAGGTGTATTCACAAAGTTGCAGAAAAAGATATCCAAACTTCTTGTCCACTGCAGCATCAATATATCGTACAATATGAGGATTATCGAGTTTAGGGAGTTGTAGGATTCTTTCTTCAATCTTCAGCTGTTCGTAGTTGCTTTTAGACATTCTCTTAATGACAACTTCTGTGCCATCCTCTCTCAGCCCCAAGAAGACTTCAGTATCATTTTCATTCATTATTCTGTATTTTAGCTTATCTTTATAAAAAAAGCTTCTGATTTGTATTACTGTCTTGCTCCTGTTTTCAACACTTTTCTCCAGTGTATTCAGCTGCTTCTTCCACCTGTTGCTGACTGTCTTAAAGCAAAACTCTTGTTGATTCCGCATGTCATTCTTTGTCGCGTCAGCTGATGTGGGCACATCAGTTGCGTTCACTAATGGTAAAATTTCATTTGCCATGCAATAGATCTCTTTGGGGAGCCCATCACTTTTCTGTATTCTGCGTAATTTCTCTAAATCCCAGCTCAATATGCCTTTTGTTTTCTGTCTTATCAAATACAGCACTGTTTCTAGCACTGCTTCACAAACACCACTGTCTTTTGGGTCAAGCAGTTCCAGTAGTTTTTGACCAATAGCTTCTGCATGCTCATTTGATATTTCTTCTTCCGTTTGGTGGAAAACTGCACTCAAACTATTAACTGCCCTCTCTACATGTGTCTTAGGGATGTTTGGAAAGCGACTAGCAACACCTTCAATATAAGTATTCACATTTCCAGTTTCCTTTAACCATGTAATACAATTCTGGCCATAGTCTTTGTTTCCTCTCGCAGTAAAGAGAATTTCAAATATGGTCAAATGTGACTGTGGATTCTCTAACAGCATCTTATTGTTATCAGCTGTAAACATGTCTTCAAATGTTTTCGAAGCAGCAGTTTCCACATCAAAAATATCTATCATCTCATTTGATGGAAATCGATGAATCCTCCTGGACATTTCGTGTGTTTCTCCTACTGGGGGGGTGTTCAATTCCTGGAGTGACATAATTCTTTTCTTTGCTTCAGATTACCTGTGAAAGAAATTAAGTACTAATATTAGCCATGTAATACTAAACTTGCATGAAGAATGTGTCCATTTTAATTTTTATTTATTTTTTGCGATGCAGGAGAAGGTGGTGGATTCAAGATGTTCTACTGTGGTGTAGATAGAAAGAGAAATGGATTAGGAGTAATCTTGAAGGAAGAGTATGTGAACAGTGTTGTAGAAATGAAGAAAGCATTAGACAGGATCATGAGTTTGAAAATGGAAATAAAAGGGGTGATGTTAAATGCTGACAGTGCGTATGCCCTACAGGTGGGATGTCAGAAGAGAGCGAGGAATTCTGGAGTAAGTTGGATGAAGTGGTAGAGTGTGTCCCCAGGGGGAAGTGAGCAGTGTCTGTAGCAGATTTCGATGTGGGTAGGTGAAGGGAACAGAGGTGATGAGGAGGTGTTGTTTACGTATGGTGTTGTTGGAGATGACAAAATTCTGTGAGTGTGAAGAAGGCGGAGGGTTCGCAAAAGCAGTAAAAACAGCACCAACAACCAATTTCTATAGAGCTGGCACATTAACTGTGTGATTGTTGTGTTGGAAGATTAAATATTTTTAACTATCAGTGACTCTGGGTCAAGGTAGGTAAGGAGAAAAATGCAGTAGGAGAGATGGTGGTGGATTTTGTAAAAAGGATGGAAATGGCTGTAGTGAACACGTACTTAAAGAAGAAGGAGAAATGCAAGGTAACATGGGAGTGGAGTAAGGTGCACACAAGTAGACTGTATCTTATGCAGAAGGTGCAATCTGAAAGAATGACAGATTGCAAGGTGGTGGCAGGGGAGAGCTAGGCAGCACAGGTGGTAGTCTGTAGAATTACTATGGAAATTGCAAAGAGAAGTGAATGAAGAATTATTGGTGGAATGGTGGAAGCAGAACAAGCAAAAATGTTAAGAGTTCAGGGAGGAGTTAAGATGAGCTCTGAATGTAAGGAAACATTGACTGGGAAAGTACAGCTAGAGTCTTGAGCTGAACCAAGATGGCGCCGCGCATGGATGCCCTGGTGCTTCAGTGCGTTACTTTTGGGTTTTTTTGTGCATTTCTTCTGTGTCTGGGCACTCCTCTGGATACTCTTACACCAGAGAAGAGCTCCTTAACTGCAGGACTACAACGCCTGTGGATTTATTTCCAATATTTGTCGCATCTGCGGCAGATTTACTGCAGACTCTGATCAGGAAAGTGAGACGTCGAAAGAGAGGTAAGCGAGCCGGCGTACTCGTGCGTTTGAGGAGACGCGGACTGAGAACGGCTCTTCCTGGGATCTTCCTTTCCAATGTACGCTCACTCGGGAATAAGATAGACGAACTGGCCCTGATGAGAAGCATGAACAGAGACTTTGCCTCCTCCTGTGTCTTATGTTTTACGGAGTCGTGGCTCAGTGAGGACATCCCGGACTGCGCGCTCAAGCTGGAGGGCTTTCATCTGCTGCGCGCGGACCGGCAGGCCGCTCTCTCCGGTAAAACCAAAGGTGGAGGTGTCTGCTTCTACATCAATAGTGGCTGGTGCACAGATGTAACAGTGATTGCTCAGCACTGCTCTCCCTCTCTGGAATATCTTTTTATTCACTGCAAACCGTTTTATTCTCCGCGGGAGTTTGCTTCATTCATCCTGGCCGCTGTTTACATCCCGCCAGACGCGGATGCGCAAGCAGCTCAGTGCGCACTCGCAGAGCAGATTCTCCACATGGAGCGGACATACCCGGACTCTCTCATCATTGCTCTTGGGGACTTTAACAAAGCCAATCTGAGCCATGAGCTTCCGAAATACAAGCAGTATATTAAATGCCCGACCAGAGAGGAGAGGACATTAGACCACTGTTACAGCACGATCAGCGGGGCCTATCGCGCGGTGCCGCGCGCTTCACTCGGACTTTCTGACCACGTCATGATCCACCTGATCCCCGCGTACAGACAGAGGCTGAAGCTCTCCAAACCTGTCGTGAGGACCAAAAAACTGTGGAGCAACGAGGCTGTGGAGGAGCTTCGCACGTGTTTGGAGACCACAGACTGGGACACAATGAAGGCTGCTTCTAACAGCTTGGACGAGTTTACGGACACTGTCACCTCCTATATCCACTTCTGTGAGGACAGCATTGTGCCATCACGCACCAGGGTGAGTTATAACAATGACAAACCCTGGTTTACTCCTAAACTCAAAAAGCTGTGGCTGGAAAAGAGAAAGGCGTTCAGAAGCGGAGACAGGGACTGCTACAGAGAGGCCAAGTACAGGTTCACTAAAGAAGTGGACATTGCTAAACATCAGCACTCTGAGAAGATGCAGCAGCAGATCTCAGAGAATGACTCGGCCTCTGTGTGGAAAGGTTTTAGGAATATCACCAACTACAAGCCTAAAACCCCCCACTCCACTGATGACTTGCTCTTGGCCAACACCCTCAACGACTTTTACTGCCGTTTTGACGAGCCATCAGGCAGCCTTCACACCTCCAACGGCCCCAACAATAGAGACACTTTGGACACTAATTAATTTAGGATCATTTTAGGACTGTTTTGGTTCTTATTATGCGTAACTATGTTTGGGGTTTTTTTTGATCATTTGGGTATGGTAAAACTGAAACTGTTATTTTATGTGAAGGTTAAAGGATTAAAGTGAACTGAATCCTGTTTAGTAGATACCAGGCCGGTGTTTTAACTGAACTTAAAGAAGGACCAAAGAGGAAGGAAAGCATGTATTTTGGTTAAGTCTGATAAATTAGAACTAGAAGGTATTTTTACATTAGCATGAGCAAAATGAAATAAAAGGCTATACCAAAAACAGGTTATAACATAGGATATGTGAGGTTAAAATGAAGTTAGTGTTAACACACAGGAGTTGTTTCTAGGCAGCATTTAGCTATGATGAGATGTATACAGGAGTAATTGCTTATATGCTTAAACTTAATTGATTAAAGTGGTTGTTTTGTTTTGGAGCTTTTAGTAGAATAGGCGCTTATAATGATTTTCGTGTTAAAAAGGTGGCTTTAGGTCAGAGTGAAGGAACTTGCAGCAGCGACAGTTTGTGTACAGGAAGTTGATGATCAGATAAGGAAAATAGAGCGAGCAACCGAACGTGAAAGCAGCGCTTAAAGAGTTTTAAAGTGATGAGTAACGTTGAAGAATATATATAAATACAAGTTAATAAGTTAAGAACATAATTAGGATCAGGCTTTTGATTACAGAGTCCCAAATAGGATAAGTTAGGGAGGTGCAGGAAAAGGTGTTTATTACTGGACCAATTAGATGACATGAGGTTGTCTGATTTGCTGAGCCAGAGAGGGTCAGAGCGAGGACACGATGTATTGCGACCTCTGGTGTTCCAGAGGTCGAGAGAGGGAGTGTGGAGCAGGGAAATTATTTTACTGCTATTGTTAAATAATCATCATTATTACCATTGCATTGATAATAGAATTTGCAGCATTGATATTGTATTCAGAGGTTTAAACAGTGTGTCTTTCAGAAAGACTAAGTTGCAGTTGACAGGAAGTTGCAGAGAGTTTGCAGGACTGAAACCGAAAGTTATTCTGAGGAGCAGGTTAGACGAGGCTATTTGAATTACTAGGTTATTCAAATTGTCTGTTATACTTTTATATTCTTTTACTAAGCTCTTAGTAGAGGTTCTTGATTAAAACATTTATTCAACATAGTACATGTAGTTTCAGTTAGGTTATTACACATAAGGATGAGCCTCTGGTCTGGTAAAAGGTCAGAAGTGCAACGGGTGAATTGAGAGAACATTTGAGGACGACACACCACACACACTCAGTTAGAGAGAATCATTTATAGGTGGAAGTTTAATCATGTTTTGCTTGGGGTTGCAAAAGGAGCAGTTTGCATACAGAGCCAACAGGTCTGTAGACGACGCCATCAACATGGCCCTACACTTCATCCTGCAGCATCTGGACTCCCCAGGAACCTACGCCAGGATCCTGTTTGTGGACTTCAGCTCTGCCTTCAACACCATCCTTCCAGACCATCTCCGAGGCAAGCTTTCCCAGATGAATGTGCCTGATCCCATCTGCCGGTGGATCACTGACTTCCTGACGGACAGGAAGCAGCACGTGAGGCTGGGAAAGAATGTCTCGGACTCCCGGACCATCAGCACCGGCTCCCCTCAGGGCTGTGTTCTTTCTCCTCTGCTCTTCTCCCTGTACACCAACTGCTGCACCTCCACCCACCAGTCTGTCAAGCTAATCAAGTTCGCAGATGACACCACCGTCATTGGGCTCATCTCGGACGGGGACGAGTCTGCCTACAGGAGGGAGGTTGAACGTCTGGTGACCTGGTGCAGCCACAACAACCTGGTGCTGAATGCCCAGAAGACAGTGGAGATTATTGTGGACTTCAGGAAGCACACAGCCCCACTCCCCCCCATCATCCTGACTGACACCCCCATCACCTCTGTGGACTCATTCCGCTTCCTGGGTACCACCATCACCCAGGACCTGAAGTGGGAGCCCACCATCACCTCCGTCATTAAGAAAGCCCAGCAGAGGATGTACTTCCTGAGGCAGCTGAAGAAATTCAACCTGCCAACACGGACGATGATGCAATTCTACACTGCAATCATCGAGTCCATCCTCACCTCCTCCATCACCGTGTGGTACGCTGGAGCCACTATCAGGGACAAACAGAGACTGCAGCGTGTTGTGCGCTCTGCTGAGAAGGTGATTGGCTGCAGACTCCCATCTCTGCAGGACCTGTACACCTCCAGGACACTGCGGCGTGCAGCTCGGATCTCAGCTGACCCTTCTCACCCTGGACACAGTCTGTTTGACCTGCTCCCCTCAGGCAGGAGGCTCCGGTCCATTCGCACCAGAACCTCTCGCCATAAGAACAGTTTCTTCCCCTCTGCTGTTGGACACATGAACAATAACCATATGACTGTCCCCACCACTAACACATGACCCTACGCTGTGTCACTGCATCATTTCATGTTTGGCACTGATCACCACCTGCACTCATGTATATATCTTTCTACGTAGCACTCATAATTCTTATTCTCATGTATATATCTCATGTATATCTCATGCACATATCTTTCTACATAGCACTTTTAATTCTTATTCTTACTTTTATTTTTTTTTTCATGTCTATTTAAGTGCTATTTATGACACTATGTTTGCACTGAAGCACCGCAGCAATTTCCTAATGTTGTAAACCTCAACATCTGGCAATAAACCCCATTCTGATTCTGATTCTGATTGAGAAAACTGTAAAGAAGGTGTTTGCTAATCCCTCTTTCTCATTCTCTCATTGGAGTGGAGATATCAGGAATACACATGGTTGTGGCACTGATTCACTCTTTAGCACTACGGTCACCCCGGTGTGTCGGCCAGAACACCACTTAAGGCCAAATTGTCCCAGAGTATAGAAGAAGAAGCTTGCCGCTCAACCGACACTAAAACTGCCCACCTTATTAATTGGATGATATCGGCGGGCTGGCTCAAACTAACAGAAGGTTAAATGCTAAATAAACAGCATATAAACTTGGTATATAAAAGCAACTGTGTTCTGACGTTCCGGCCGGAATGTTCTTCCCGTCTCCGTCCTCCTTCCAGTCTCCGTCCCCGTCATCACTATTTAAAAATACAGAGAAGAAGATGATCACCTTAAGCAGTCCCACCCACCCTCTCAGCCACACCTCCCTGAGAGCTCACTGTAACACCCCTCCGCTGCAGCAGGCCGGAGACCACACCCCTGCCACATAGATCATATCACAACTGTGAAATAAAGTGAAAGAGCAGCTCACAGATCAGAGGGAAGTCACATCAGGAGAACATTAATTATTTGTAGCATGCGATCCCCTCGTGTTTTCAGTCTGTGAAACAGCTGTTTGTCTCTTCACCAAGCAGGTAAGATCAGCAAAACTACACCATAGGATGGTTTATACCCAAGATTCTTTAAAAAATATATTATTAACATAACAAGAGGAAACATAGATTTGATTCTTTATTTATTCATTTCTTTTATCTTCCATCATTTTCTCTTAAGCTCAAATGTTGTTTTTATTTCCACAGTGATGGCAGCAGCAGCGTTCAGAAGCAGAGGACTGGCTGGTGTCAGAAACACCAACGTTTTAATCCTCATCTTTCTGCTGCCCTGGTTTATGTCACAAATTCACTGACGAAAGTAAGAACAAAGTCACTGCTGAATTAACTTGTAGTTTGCTTGAAACATTTATTTGCAATGTAAAACTGACAGTACACTATTTAAGTCATTATAAGCATATCAAAGTTTGGGTGTTTTTCTCTCTATGTAGAGTTGTTAATATGTAGTGCTTAAGCAACTGCGCACTGTTTTTGCACATTTCAAAATATTCTGAGAAGTTTCTCAGAACAACTTAGAAAATCAGAAAAAGCAAAAGCAGCCAGAAGGACGGTGGGTCAGTCAGGTTGATGTTGATTGCATGTTATCAGTCAAATTTGGCCATGCAGGAAAAAACAACTGCGTATGAGTCATATCAGTGCACACTAAGAGAACTGCAAATCAGTCTGACTGTAGAAGTAAATTTGACTTTTTCTAAAAATAAATGTTGTTTTCTTCTTCAGGCAGAATACAAGAAGAAACAAGCAAGTGAACTTGATGAAAAACTACAGTTTCTTCAGTCTTTGGAAGAACTAATAAAGACATCATCATTTTTTGAGGATTTTCCTGCAATGATGGACGTAGTAAATAGTTTGAGACGCTTCTACAAGAGAACCATCATCCCATCAGACAGAGAGGAAGAAAAAAAATGGTGAAAATGGGGAAACAAAAGTGGAAAACATGAAAATCCTCCTAAAACTCAACAGAATAAACTTTAAAAGTTTCTATAGAAAAATAATAATACAAAAAAAATCATAAAATAATGATAAATCTCATCATTAACTCATTCACTGCCAGCCATTGGCAGTGAATGAGATCTTCTATTTAACTTTGAATACTCAACAACAACAATGAAGGTTAGCCCTGAATACTTGTCCTAGATTAAATAAATTATATCACACTAACTGCTCATTGTGTTCTTTTCTTTTCTTACTCTTTTTTACTCTTTCTACATCTTCTATGCTTTATAAAAACATAGTAAATATTACTTTATTTCTTCCCCAAAACTGAAAGAATTAAAAGTATGTATCTAGTATCTCC